TAGCGCAATGATAACGTCAGCGCATCATAAGTGCCATAAATATTGCATGCATTAACCTGTGTTACCACTTTATCGCACCGCCGAAACGTAAGAAACTTATTGCATTTCTTTACACAATAACTTTTCATTGCTGCCACCAATGCGACATTATAGAGGAATCACATTTGTCTTTTTATTACTGCCAATCGTTTTACACTTACACCCTCAGATTCTTATGATGAAAGGGCCATCGTAACATACGTTGAAATGAGAACATACGTACTACAATGAAATCATGCATAATACGATGAAAAATTAAGCATATTACGTATGTGCAAATTTATGCGTACCTTACGATGAAAACCATCGTAATACTTATAAAAACGATCATAAGATGTTGAGTGCGTATCACATTAAAAGTATCAGTGAGGAAGTGCAACTTAACTCAAAAAAATTCCAATGCTTACGCATTGCACGGAGTTCCGGTTGTAGAAATCAATGTGAAATCTGTCATCTATACGTTAATTACATTAATTTTAGCGTTATTTACGTTACTTTGAATCCTACCTTTATTTTTACATCCCCAAACTCGAGGGGGAAATCACTCTTGAAAACTGTGACCCGACTACTCCCTAATACGTTCTATTACGCTATTACAGAAGGCTTATTACGCTCGAAATATCCAGATTTAGTCTAAAATCGGACCCTAAATAGGGAAAATCTTTAAAAATTTGGCTATTACGCTATTACTATTTCGTGTAATACTACTCCCGACTATTACGCGAGTGATTTCCCCTCGCCAAACCTGATTCAGTTAACACAATGACCATCTCAGTCCATCTCGCGATCACGCGATTGACAGTGCTCACGTTCGTCAAACGAAAGTCATCCGCGTTCCGAACTCCCGAGTTTAAAAGGTTTGTCAAACCAACCGTCATGCTGGTTACAGAATTAAGGAAAACACGAGAAGAGAACCACAGCCTTTAAAAGCAAGCCAAACAATCCAACCTCAGCAACAATGGAGGGGCAGTTTCAATGCGCGACTACTCGTTTTTCAGCCTCGCGATTTTCGAAAGGGCGCAGACGCCGGGAAAATTGTTGCCAACCCCGAAAATCGATTTATTTTGTCTTTTCTGCTACGAACCTTTTACTAATGACAGATTTCAAAGATGTTTAAATGTCAGGTCACTGTGCAATGAGTGAGCATTGGCATTTTCGAATTTTACGGCGTTTTCAATTTCTTTTATCATCGACTTTAAATTTTGACAGTTGGGACGATGGCAGTGAGTCGTTGTCATGGACACTTTTCTTCATGTTTTAACCATTTTCTCAGAACAGACGATTTCTTGTCACTTTCATGTAGCAGGAGGTTTAGTTTTGAGGAGTGGAACATTTCTTATTTGATTTTTTTTTGATAGCACCGACGGTTTCGTTTTGGATTGTTGCAAATTGATCCAGGAAGCGGAAGAAATGGATAACTCAATTTGGGCCACTTTTCAGGAGAAACAAAAAACTGTTAGCAGGGAAAACTAAACAACACAACAAATGAATGTTGCAGATGTTAATAATTTCAAAAAGCATTAGTAAAATTTTGGAAAAAAATCAAAAGTGGAAGGTCACTCCGTAGAGGATTTCTGCGACTTATCACTTTCCGTTGAAATGGAAAACAGAGTCAGCTCACCTTATATTTCCTAACGAAGTGGAATTTGGAGACAAGTCAAGTGGAACTATAGTCTGCATTAAGTGTATGTTACTCTGGTGTATTTTTTGGACTTAGCTCTTTTTTCCAAATTGAAATTTAAAATTAAGGGGGGTTAAGTTGAGTTGATTCTTTTTACACTAGATTCATAAAACACAAGTTGAGTATATCCTTTTGCCAATTTGTCAAACGGACTCATGTAGACTAAGGTTGAGTTATCTCCATTTTCCAATGAAATTTAGACTGTAAAAGGGGTTAGGTTGAGTTATACCCTTTTCCATGTGGATTTTCTCCTAAACTGCTTGGAATTCAGTCAAATAATTTGGTGTAATGATGTAAACCATTCTAAGGCACAATAATAAAATAAAAACTCAATTTGGGGATAAGTCAAGTTATTCCCTTCTTCCGCTTCCTGGATCAATTAATGTTTTTCGCGTTTACGGAAAATTTTCACGATAAATTTTTTAAATTTTCTGCAGTTTTTATTAGATTATGATGAGGAGTAATGTGGCGAGAATTATTTTCGGATTTGCGAGGGTGCCAAGAAGAAGAATTCTGAGCCGTCAAAAACAATAAGGGTCCTCCTTCGTCGGAACCCCTAAATATGCGAAGCTCGTCGCACAACGAGGCTATCGGCAAGAGCGTGGCAATCTTTTCTATCACAACTCTTCCTGTTATTTCAGGTCGAACGGTGTAATAATGCGCTCCGTTTTTATCGTCTCGGTGATACTCGTCGAGTCACTCGGCAAGAACATTCCATCACATGCTGCAAGTCATTTTTTGCCAGATAACGTTTTTCTGTTTACTGTTATTACAGTGTTGTTGATGGTTAAGTTTGACTGAACCACCTTTAAACTGAAATCTTCTTTTTGGTTTCTGTCAAGACGCGTTTTCAAAAGAACAAAAAATTGAATACCACAAACAGTTACAAAATGTCAACAGCTTCTTCCAATATGGATGCTTTTATGAATGAGGCACAGTCTGCTAAATCTTTCCAAAGTCAGTGTATCTGATGTAATGGTAACCCTCTGATTTCAGGGCCCGTTTCTTGTGGTTCTTGACAGAATATACGCATGCGAGGTGCCAAACAATTGTATACAGATAAATTTGGTGCCAAGCCACTTTTCACCCGCTCATCCGCTCGAGCCTCAGACAGTTTCAGGTGATCTCTGGCAATTACACTATTACTGACGACTGGAGGGTAAGTCAGGAGTCTTTTTCATGGGTGGTGCCACAGAAGAAACTTTTGGGGGGCTTTCGTGAACGATAATGTTAAGAGAATTTTCATTTCCCAGTTATATTTGACACGGGAGCTCCATCTCCCCCCCCCCTCAAAATGAAAGGGGCAAATGATCCAGGAAGCGGAAGAAGGGGATAACTCCATTTTGACCATTCAGGAGCAACAAAAAAACTTCCAGCAGGGAAATCTAAAACTAAGTAATGGAATGTTATAGATGATAACTAGTTCAAAAACGTAAGTTAAATTTTGAGATGAACATCAGGAGTGTCAATTCACTGCGTATAGGATATCTGTGACTTATCACTTTCCGCTAAAATGGAAAACAGAGTCATCTCAACTTATATTTCTTAAACGAAGTGGAATTTGGAGACGTCAAGTGAAACTATAGTCAGCACAGAGTGTTGGTTCCTCTGGTGCATTTATTGGACTTAGCTCTTTTTTCCGTTTAAGTTCTTAAAATTAAGGGGGGTAAGTTGACTTGATTCTTTTTTACAATGGATACATAAAATCACAAGTTGAGTTATCTCCTATCAACAATATGTTCAACGGAGTCATGTTGACTTTGGTTGAGATGTTTCCATTTTCCGCTAAAATGAGAGTGTAAAGGGGTCAAGTTGAGTTACATCTTTTTTCGAAGTGGATTTTTTCTTTAACTGCAAGGAATTGAGTCAAATAATTTGGTGCAATGATGCAAACCATTCTAAGGCACAACGACATAATAAAAACTCAATTTGGAGATAAGTCAAATTATTCCCTTCTTCCGCTTCCTGAATCAAATGTAGTTTAGTCGAAAATTTGTGTCTCCGTCGTCTCTTGTTGAAAGTGGATCAAACTAAATGTGTCATAGAGCTTTCTTTACTGGATACATAGTCCACAAGTGTCACATTTGCGGCTCAGCCCAAAAAAAGTGAAGTGGTAACTTTTTACTTTTTAATAATCTCATAAAGTGATGTAAAAATGTTATTTGTGTTGTCAATCTGAGACCGCAATAAATTCCAGAACAAAGATTTGTACTCACGTTTCATTCACGGCTTACAGGCTGACGTACGGATGGACCTGCGATGGGTCCCCAAGGGTCCGGATGGGTCCCCAGGGTCCGGATGGGTCCCCCAGGGTCCCAAATGGGTCCCCGATGTCCCAAATGGGTCCCCAAGGTCCCGGATGGGTCCCCAAGTCCCCGGATGGGTCCCCAAGGGTCCCGGATGGGTCCCCAAGGGTCCCGGATGGGTCCCCAATGGTCCCGGATGGGTCCCGAAGGGTCCTGGATGGGTCGTCAAGGGTCCCAGATGGGTCCCCAAGGGTCCCGAATGGGTCCTAAATGGGTCCCCGACGGTCCCAAATGGGTCCCGAAGGTCCCGGATGGGTCCCCAGGGTCCCGGATGGGTCCCCAAGGTCCCGGATAGGTCTCCAAGGGTCCCGGATGGGTCCCCTAGGGTCCCAAATGGGTCCCCGAGGGTCCCAAATGGGTCTCCGAGGGTCCCAAATGGGTCCCCGAGGGTCCCGAATGGGTCCCCGAGGGTCCCCAATGGGTACCCCAGGGGCCCAAATGGGACTCTAAAGGTTCAAATGGGTCCCCCAAGGACCCATTCGTTGTCCCAAGGTCCAAAATGGGTCTCCCAGGGTCTCAAACCCATAGGGACCCTGGGGACCCATAGGGACCCATAGGGACCCTAGGGGACCCATAGGGACCCTAGGGAACTCATAGGGACCCTAGGGGACCCGTAGGGACCCTAGGGGACCCATTTGGGACCCTAGGGGATGTTGTAGTGGTATGAGATTACGTTGGCAGTACCGCCCAGAAGTCGGGTATGAGAACTATTCGTGTCACTGCCTTGTAACCCTGGTGTCCATACTATGCAACTAACCTATGAATAATAAATCTCTCTCTGGAGTGTTCCCTTTGGTCATTGAGTCTGAGTCTTTGTTCCTGTGATCCCAAATATTCGAGAACAACTATTCTGTTCAAGAATAGAACATGGCGCAGTCGTAATCGAATCTTAACAAGTGCTCTGTCATTGTGAGTAATAATTCTTGATCGGGAGATTGAGAAAAGTGAAAAAATCAGTCTGGTTAAACGGTGGTCTGGTCTCGCTACTTGCTTTGTGGCTTGGTGGTGGTGAATTCTGCTGAAAATGGGTGATAATCATCTAAAAAGCCCTGGGCCTGTCAATTTAAAGTCAGGTAATATTCAGAAGTCATGGGAAACTTTCAAGCAGAAGTTTGGATTCTTCTTAACCGCAATTGGAAAGGCTAAAGCGGCGTCGGATGTTCGATGCGCACTCCTGATGGGAGAGGCCGGGGATGAAGCTTTGGAGGTTTATAATGCCTTTAAAGATAAGCTGATATCCAAAACAACCAACGATCAAGGAGAGGAGGTCATTGAACATGACTATACAAACAACTATGACAAGGTTGTTGAGCAGTTTGACCTCTATGCGGCGGAGAAAAAATGCATTACGGGTTGTCGTGAACTGTTTAATGCGCGAAATAAAAAAAAGGAGGAAACGTTTTCCAACTGGCTAACAGATTTGCGAAACTTGGTGAAAGACTGTGAGTACGCAACTATTGTTGATAGTATGCTGAAGGACAGAATTATATGGGGTGTCTGGGACAAGAGGTTAAGAGACACTCTGAGATCCAAGTCAAATCAGAGTTTATCTGATATTATTGATCTGTGCAAGGCAGTTGAAGCTACGGCACGATATCCGAAGTTGAATGGTGATAACGATAATGCCCAAAATGTCGAGGCTATCCAGTCATTCAACAAAAACCGTAGCAAGAATGGCATTCCCTCTCAACCCTACCAAAAGAACAAAGGTGGAGGAAAGATGAAAAATTCACAGTACCACAACCGACCCGGTCCAGGCTATAAATCAAAGAGGAATGGATCACAACAGGGAGACAACAAACAGTTGTTTAAATACAAGTGCAGAAAATGTAATAGAGTGCATGAGGCGGGCAACTGTCCGGCTTATGGCCAAATTTGCTCTGCTTGTAATGGAAAAAATCACTGGGAAGTTGTGTGCCGTAATAAAGGACAACAAAATGCTGGCAATTTTAAAAAGCAAAGTAAGGTTGACAGTCTTGCTACTGTGACTAATCAACTTCAAGATTGCTTGCTTAGCTCGTGGACAGATGATGGTGCGAGTACCAGGTATGTACATATGTTAACTGCTGTTAAAAGAAAAAATGAAATTATTGTCAGTGGGGAGAGTAAAAGACCTAGAAAAGAATACACTGAGGTATTAAAACTTCAGGGGGTTCACTTTGTAAAATTTAAGTTGGATCCTGGGTCTGAAGTAAATATTCTGCCATTTCATGTTTTCCAAATAATTGACAAAGGGTATACTGTCAATCCCACTAACACCGTGCTGAAGGCTTATGGGAATGTTTTAAGCTCACCTAAAGGTACAGTAAGGTTGAGTGTTGAAACAAAATGGGTGGCAAAATGATTTGTGAGTTCCTACTCTCTACAATTGATCCTAGACCAATTCTTGGTATAGAAGCATGTGAAATTTTAAATCTGGTAAAAAGAGTTGAACATCAGTCTAAAGATGTGAAAACTGTCAAAGTGATGTCTCAGTTACTGCCAGAGTCTAAAATTGTGTTCCTAGAAAAATACAAGGAACTATTCACAGGTCTGGGTGAGTTCAAAAATAAAGTAAAAATTACTGTTGATCCCAATGTTACACCTGGAATGTGCCCTCCTAGAAGGTATCATTTTTCAGTGAATGATAGACTTAAAACTAAACTGGAAAGTTTAGTACAAAGAGGTATTGTGGCCAAAGTTACTGATGAAATTCCAAAATTTGTTAGTAATTTGGTAATTAGAGAAAAAAGTGATGGTGATTTAAGAATTTGTCTTGACCCGGAGTTGCTGAATCAGGCAATAGTCAGACAAAAATATGTAATTCCAGATGTTGATAACTTGTCATGTCAGGTTAAAGACATGGAGGTTTTCACAGTGTTAGACCTGAAAGAAGGGTTTTGGCATGCTACATTGGATGATGAGTCAAGTCTTCTGTGTGCATTTGCTACCCCTCATGGAATTTACAGATTCTTAAAAATGCCATTTGGGTTGAAGTGTGCACCTGAAATATTCCAGTTTATGACTGAAACAGCATTTCAGGGTACAGGCGCAATAGTATATTTTGATGATTGTCTTATAGCAGGTAAAGACTATGAGGATCATGATCTAAAACTTCAAAAGTAATGGAGAAGGCCAAAGAGCAGAATGTTAGGTTTAATCCTGGTAAAATTCAGTACAGACAAAAAGAAGTAAAATTCCTGGGACACTTGTGGTCAAAAAATAAAACCAAAGTGGATCCAGAAAGAGTTCGAGCAATAAAAGCAATTAAAGAACCAAAAACAAAAACACAACTCCAAAAATGTTTGGGTATTTTTAACTATCTGAGAAAATTTATTCCTCAGATGGCTACAATTGCTGCTCCACTCTATGAATTGCTGTCTAATGCTGTTCTTTATAAATGGATGCCTACACATGCAAAAGCTCTTCAAACTCTAAAAGAAAGTATTTCGAAGGCCCCTGTCTTGGCTACATTTGATAGCAAAAAGCCAATTATAATTCAAGCGGATGCCAGCCAGTATGGACTGGGCTGCTGTCTCTTGCAAGATAAAAAACCTGTAGTTTTAGATTCCAGAATTCTCACTGAAACAGAAAAGAATTATGCTCAGATTGAGAAAGAAATGCTGGCTTTGTGCTATGCTGCCCATAAGTTTGAAAAATACATTTGGGGTATGCCTGATGTATTGTTCCAAACTGATCACCAACCTTTGATTCATATTTTCAAAAAACCTATTTATAAAATAACCAACAACAGGTTGAAAAAAATGAGGCTCAAATTACTCAGATTCCAACCTAAAGTTGAATATTTACCGGGTAAATATATGCATATAGCTGATTTACTGTCTAGAAATTGCCTGGAAGATCCTGTAGAGGATGATCCAGAAATGGTTGAGGTTGTACATGAGGTGACAAAATATATTGACATGTCACTCAATGTCAAGGCTGATCTGGTGAGAGAAACAGCAAACGACCCAGGTTTGTCAGCTGTGATGCAATATTACCAGGAAGGTTGGCCTAAAAATAACAAAGTTATTGTTAATGAGGTAAAACCATATTGGAAACTGAGAATGGATATCTTTGTAGAAGATAAATTGGTAATTCTGGAAGATAGAATAATCATTCCGGTATCGCTCAGGAAAAAAGTTTTGAAAAATTTACATACCGCTCACTTGGGTGTTGAGAAAACCAAAAGTAGAGCCAGGCAATCTGTGTATTGGCCAGGTATGTCAAATGACATAACCACATTTATAAAAGAATGTCGGACATGTGAAAGACATAGTGCCAAAAATAAACATGAGCCACTAATTCCACATGACATTCCGCAATTGAGGTTCCAGAAAATAGGAATTGATATATTACATTTTAATTCCAAAGATTTTTTGGTTGTTGAGGACTACTTGTCAAAATGGTTAGAAATAAAACCACTGTCAAGTAAAAGTAGTAAAGCTGTAATAGATGCACTGAGATCTATTTTCTCTACTCATGGTAATCCACAAATAATATTTGGTGATAATAATCCACTCAATTCACATGAGTGTCATGAGTTTGCAAAAAGCATGGGGAGTGTGATTAAAACCAGTTCACCTGAATATGCTAGAAGCAATGGACTGGCTGAAAAAGGAGTTCATATTGCTAAACAAATGCTTAAAAAATGCAGTGATTCTGGTACGCATATTCTGGATGCTCTCAAGGAGTATAATAACACACCTTTAACGGGTATGAATGTGTCTCCAGCTGAAATACTTATGAGTAGAAAGTGTCGTACTTTAGTCCCAATACTAAACAAAAATCTCGAACCAAAAGTTGTGAAGGTTAAGCAAGTGCTAAAAAGATTGCAAGATAAAGTAAAATCTCAACATGACTTGCATGCTAACCGTAAACCTATACACTTTTCGCAAGGTGACAGTGTGGTTGTCAGACGAGGAAAGAAATGGCAGAAAGGGAATATAGTTCGTAAACTTTCTGGTAACAGAAGTTACGTAGTTGAACTATTAGGGGGAGGTCAGTTACGCAGAAATACATGGCATTTGAAACATTCTAGTACCAAACCGGACAGAGTTGATGCTAGAGAAAATAAAGAAATTGATGCTGATGCAATTCTCGCCAATATTAGAGCTGGTGAAAAGAAAGTGACCATTAACCCTAACCCTACTGTTCGTGCTGTTTCTGTTCCAGCAGCTCAAGGATTGATGACATTTGAGTCACGACAAACAACAAGATTTGGTCGGAAGATCCTAAAACCACATCGTTATGATGGGAGCTGTTAATAAATATTATTCATGTAATCAAATATATTACTCTGTATTTTTATATCAAATATAATCAACTTTTGTATTCTGCTATGTGTTTGTTTACTTTCAACGTAGAAAGTGTTGCCAACTGAATACTTTAGTGTCTCGAAGGGGGAGGTGTTGTAGTGGTATGAGATTACGTTGGCAGTACCGCCCAGAAGTCGGGTATGAGAACTATTCGTGTCACTGCCTTGTAACCCTGGTGTCCATACTATGCAACTAACCTATGAATAATAAATCTCTCTCTGGAGTGTTCCCTTTGGTCATTGAGTCTGAGTCTTTGTTCCTGTGATCCCAAATATTCGAGAACAACTATTCTGTTCAAGAATAGAACAGGGGACCCATTCGGGTTCCTGAGGGACTCACCAGGGACCCTTGGGGACCCATTTGGGACGCTGGGGGACCCATTCGGGACCCTGGGGGACCCATTCGGGACCCTGGGGGACCCATTTTGGACCCTAGGGGACCCATTTTGGACCCTGGGGGACCCGTTTGGGACCCTGGGGGACCCATTCGGGACCCTGGGGGACCCATTCGGGACCCTGGGGGACCTATTAGGGACCCTAGGGGACCCATTCGGGACCCTGGGGGACCCATTCGAGACCTTGGGGGACCCATTTCGGATGGTGGGGGACCCATTCGGGACCCGGTGGGACCCTGGGTGACCCATTTGGGACCTATTCGGGACCCTGGGGGACCCGTTTGGGACCCTGGGGGACCCGTTTGGAACCCTGCAGGACCTAATCGGGACCCTGAAGGACCATTAGGGACCTGGTGGGGACCTCTAGGGACGCGGTGGGACCCCGCGAGGACCCATCCGGGACCTAGCAGGGACGCAAAAGGGACCAGCGTGTGACCTCCAGCGACCAATCGGGGACTTATCTCTGGGACCTGCCGAGACCTGCCTGGGACCTCCTGGCGTCCGTAAATGAGATTCGTGGTACGTATAACACTTAATCGGATTTTTATTCGTAAAATAACGGACATTTTTCTGACCGTGTTGTTTTCAGAATGCTTCGCACAGATCGAAGGAGCATAAAATTTAGGGTGCATTAGACGCATTGACCTTCCCAAAACTCCCAATTTTACTTCGTACAAAAGAGAAAATCGCGGAAATGTTTATACAAAGATGGCGCCCCCGAGGTTTTTTCCTTAAGGGGAGGTTCTGGTGAAAATCTTGCCATTTTCCAAATGGATCCTACAGTCATAATTTGTTCCGAATATAAAATTTTTCATTGAGGAGACTAAAATTTGACTTTTGAAGGCACATGCCAGGCTGTAAACCCAGTCGAAGAGTCTTTTTGAGCCTATTTTGGCTGTATCTTAAAAAATCTCCTTGCGCATACTATTTTGTCGTAAAAGGATGACCTTGACATTTTTCACTTCTTCGACTCATTTTCAAAAGATTCCGGCATGCAGAGCTCAAAACTTCCATTACATTATTAGTTATTAGCTTTTTAAGCTGAAAAGTCCCTAAAATTTGTCTATTTTGTACATTTTTGATCAATTATAGTGAAATGCTTGGTTAGAAGGGAGTTCTCTTCAGACATAACTTTAGATCCACATAACCGTTTATCCACATTGTTTGACAGACATAACTGGCTACAGACATAACTGGTGTCAGACATAAAAGAGGATTATTGTGTTTAAAAACTGTAAACACACATAACTTTAAATACACATAACTTTATTCAGAAATAAACTTTTATTAAAAAATATATATAAAAATTGAATTAAATAGAGGAGAAATAGAAGAATAGAACTCAATTAAACTCAGTCAAAATTTCAATCATCATCAAAATTTCCTTCCTGCACAGTGGGCACGTGGCGCTCTCGTCCGCCCGGCCCGCTCAGGTGTTGCAGCAGATGCGATGCCCGCACGGCACTGCAGCGTGGTTTCTAGGGCCGTCAAAGCAGAGGCGGCACTGCTCATCTTGCCCCTCTGCCGAACCGGAAGCAGCTGCCCTTGCATCGGCATTCGCAGCCTGTTGAAGCGCGTGCTGCTGAGTCCGCCGTGCTGTTATTTCAGCTTCATCCATGAATCCTTCGGGCAGCTCTTGCTCTTCTTCATTTCCTTCACTACTCGATGAAGCGGACGGATCATTCCTAGCACCCCTGCCGCGACCACCCCTTCGGCGACCACCCCTTATGTCTGTCGAAAGTTATGTCTGTCAAAAGTTATGTCTGTCGACGGTTATGTCTTTCAAATATTATGCCTGTCAAATGTTATGTCTGTCAACAGTTATATGTATATGCGATTTCGTTATTTCTGTAAAATGATATGTCTGTAGCAATATAACTTTAATTTAAATAATAAATGCTTTTTTTTCAGAAATATCCCGTTATTTCTGTCACCAGTTATGCGGATTTACAGTTATGTGGGTCAAAAGTTATGTCTGTCAACAGCAACTCGGTTAGAAAGCTTGGGAATAAAATTGCAATTGACATTTTGAGATGTGCATGCCGGCATTTTTAGAAAATGAATCGAGAAGTGAAAAATGTCTAAGCCAACCTTTACGACAAAATAGTATGCGCAAGAAGATTTTTAAAGTTATGGCCTAAATGGGAGAAAAAGGCTCTGCGAATGGGTTTAGGGCATGGAATGTGCCTCCGCAATGAAAAATTTACATAAATACTTGATAAGACATCAATTTTTAACAAATTTTCACAGTGGGACCTATTTAGGAAAAATAGCGTTTTCACCAGAACCTCCCCTTAATTATTAGACTTATTGTATTTTTCGGTGTTTTCACTTTGATTTTTCGAGGGCTGAAGTAGCAGGTAAGGGATTGCCAATGAGTCTAATGCACCCTTTATGTGATGCTCTTTCGATATGTGCAAAGCGATTTGCAAACAATAGCCTAGTTTGAATAATCTCGAAGAAGTCCTTGACCCCTGCACGGAGCAGATCGGAGCGAGAGCTTCGCCTCACTGCCGCTTTAGGGTGTTACCGCCCCCTGTTTCAACGTGAAGTCACACTTGGAATGAGAGTGTTCGTTTTCTCGCGCCATTTCTTCGTTAGACATTTAGAGTGTAAAGTGTAACGTCGGCATGTCAGACAATGTGTGTCACCAGGCGGGACTAAAATTCCAATACAGTTGGATGAGCTTAAAATTACATAACCAATGGGACAAAAATATCCCATGACATTTAGTGTGTCAACGCATAGCAACATACGCGCTATGTTCATACCCTTTGGAGTCACAGTACATGCTTGGTAAGTGCACACCCTAATATACTTGACCAGGAGTAGTGTGTACTTAGCCGGCAAACATGCATCTTTAGGTGTGCACTTGAAAATATGCTCCTGAAGATGCATGCCGCGTGCACGATTCAGTTTGCACTCACTGAGAAAACAAATGCGGAGGATTCCGCACAATCTGATGCGGTGTAATTTTCTATCAATTTGACGCACTAACTGATGCGGAGAAGATTGACTTCATTTACTCCTGCGGTGTGTGCCAAACTGATGCGGTCTCAGTTTTGACCGCATTAGTTGAGGTGGATTTGAAGATCCCACGATATTTACAGCAGTGGCAACTTCCCTTCCAGTCCATCCTCAAAGAGGTTACGTTTACTTGGCCATCTCATTTACTTCTTGAACAATATTATTTGGGAAACCAGTACATACCTGTCATGTAGATGTTTGTAACGCTGAGATGAGCGTAAAGTTAACAGCTATATCAGCCTCATTAAGTAGTTTTTTTTAAAATAAAAACCAATGATTGAAACTGCATTTTTTTAGAGATGAATTGTCACACAATTTGAAAACACAATTCAAAATTCTTTTTATCTTTCAAGTCCTCGGCAGTCTTCGGTGAGAACAGCACTGAGGTTTCCAATGTTGTCCAGCCCAGGGCAAGGTTGAGGTTAACAGGATAATTCATAAATAAAGTTATTCATGAAATACACAAACGTCAAACTTTCAACAAACTTCATAGTCTGAAAAGTTGCGTTTTCGTCCTTTGTTCCTTACTGTATAGAAAGAAAAAGTTCCTGAAACGACGAAAACTTTAGGTTTAAAGTTTTAGAATATTTTGTAAGTTTACAAACACAGGATGGATACAAAATTTACTATAACTTCGTGGTGCAAGATTTAACAGCAAATTAATCGTATTAATTTCTGGCACAAAATAATCCCGAGCAGTGCTGTCACTCTAAGCAGCGAGTGACAACTGCAGAACCCGTGGAAAGGCTCTTACCAAACCAAAGAGATTCCAAACTCTATGAATGTAGTACGTGGTGCAATCAGGTTGCAAAGCACTGAGATATCGCACCATACGTGCAATGCCATGGCCATGTTGCATCTTACGTGCAATGCTTCCCGAATATGCCCTATGCTAATGCATGGGAATGGGAAGGCATTCTACTTCATGTGCAATGCATGCACTCTCAGAGCCATATTGACTTTTTGTTCATAGCAGCAGCAACATTTACGCATGTGAATTTTTTTACGCAACAATAATACTTAGAAATTTGTTCATATGCCACGAATAAAAAGTCCATGGTATATGTACAATTCCATAGACAATATTTTTAGTACATTACTAACAAATTTGTTGGTAAAATTGTTGATAAATTTGTTGATAAAAATTTACCAGACTAATCACTGACAAAACTTTTGTCGTTACTAAACGACACTTTTAATGCTAATTTTTTCAGCGACAAGATTTATTTTGGAGCGGATAGCTTGTGGGACCACTTGTTAGTCAGCGACAAGTATTGCAAGTCCATAAAAAATATGTAATGCCAGCGACAAATATTGATCATGTACGTAGAATTTTATTTGTATGTACTGACTTATTTATTAGTTACTACTGACTCCGTTTCTTTCTTACTATTGACAAATCTCTTAGTAGGCACTAACACATTAGTCCCAGAAGGCCTCCATACTTCTTTTAAATAACTAGTGACAGATTTGTTAGTAAGTAACATACAAAATGTCAATACATTACACATAGATTTTTATCAGTAAGATACCTAAAAACAGGAAAAGTAGCGATATACATCGGCAACTTTGGCCCGTCCCGTACATTAACAAATGTGTGAATTTCGCCTTTGTTTAACCCTGGCGGGTTTGAACCTGAGTCTGGGATCAAAAGAGATGTTATTTTCGTCATCAGCGCCCTCAAAACCTAAGAAACAATGCAAAACTCGAAAAAAGAATGTTCAAAATATACCCCACTGGGATTTGAACCCGGGTCCAAACTTCTCCGATTCGCTTGAAACTGGCACCGTTGGTTTGTGTCTCGTCGCCCCGATTCCAAAAATACCCCTACATGCCCTGCTAGCTGCATCCGTTGCCGAAATCCTCCTCGACCCCATGTAGACCATGATGCACCTGCAGCAGCGCCCCCGGGCTCGGATCGGATTTGCTGCCACCGGGCGGTTCTTAGGGTCACCCAAGGAGGCTGCATACCAAATTTGGTCAAGATCGGACCACGGGAAGTCCGCGGACGAACGGACGCACAGCAGGGATCATACTATATGCCCGTCCCTCCGTCATTTTGTTTACAAAAAATGAACGGGACGGGCCAAAATTGTTCATAAATTACATGGAAATATTTTTAAGTAAAAGTACAGACAAAAATGTCAGTATGGCTCTGAGAGTGTGTGCAATTTAAAAGGAGTGCACCAATTGACGCTATATTCATAGCGTTTGAATTCTCAGTGTAAAGCAGGAAATGCAGCGATAGCACGGAAAGTCTTCAGTGTCAACACGTGCATAACCCCCCTAGTTGGGGACAACCGAGAGGGTGTGCTTTCTCAAAACCTGTCACCCGTCTATTACGCAACTGCACTCTATTACGCCTAAAATTAATCAGGCTTTAGCTACAAGGTAGGTGTACGCCAGACCGTGTCTTGTAACAGGCTTCGCGATGCTGCGCCAGTTACGACAATCCACGCCTGGCGTTACACCTACCTTGGCCTGCGGCGCTTGCCTGGCTTCTTCTTTTGCAGGCATCCGCATACCAATTTCCGTGACTGAAGGTCAAAACAGCATTTGATTTCGTGCCTAGGCTGCATTGGCCTGACTTTTTAACTTGTCGAGGCTGGGGGCTAGACCCCCCATTGGCCTGACTTTGTAGCTTGCCGAGGCTGGGGGCTCCGCCCCCCAGACCCCCCTTCCTTCCAGACAGAAGTGATCTGCCTGCAGAAAACTCGATTTTTCGCCGTTTTTAGGTGTTTTTCGGCTATAAAAACCGAACCAGTTGAGCTAGGATAGTGAAATTTCGCGTGTGCCGAGCCAAGGACATACCTTAAAAGTGTGCAAAATCTCAGCGAGATCGGCCGAGCCGTTCAGGAGGAGTAGCGCGGACACCCACACACACACACACACGCACGCATACAGGAAAAATTTTTCAACCCCACCTGAGTAACAGGCTTCGCTATCGCTCAGCCAATTAACACCAAAAAAGGTAAAAACCGGAGACTTTTGGCCATTACGCTCTTGTTACGCGTACTTACTGCAAAGAGACGGTGGAAGCGGTGTTTTTTCTGTGATTTTTTTCTCCAATTAAACGTGTTCTCTGAAAGAATGAATCCAAATCAGTTGACATAAAAGTTCAAAGCTAGTTGTACTGTCTGTTTGTGCTTACCTTTTCTGGCTTCCTCCTTTTTTTCGGTTGATCAGTAATTCTCTGTAACATCATGGATTTTACTATTACTTTTTCCGAGGGGGGACCCACTGCCCCAAAAAGTGTACAACTGAGTGTAGAATGTGTTGAATGTGTGAGAATGTAAAGATTGTAATGGAATGTACTGATTGTAAAGATTGTCTAGAATGTGTGTGAATGTTACAGATTGTAGTGAGAATGTGACAGAATGTGTCAGGAATGTTAGAGATTGTATGAGAATGTGTGAGAATGTAAGAAAAAGTGCGAAAATGTGTGAGAATGTGTGAAGATTGTGTGCTGAATGGGCGTGCGGCCGACGTCTCTACATAGCGCCGTGAAGGTAGGCAACCAATTTCACGCCTGAGGTAGTCAACCGTTCATCATAGTGGTGTTTCTTTGCTTCTATAAATCTTGCTTTGTCGCATGAAGTTGCCAGATTTTGGACAACTCCTTTCATTCCTTAGTCGTGCTCCAGGGCATAATGTAAGAAATTTTTACAACTGCCCAAATCCGCCGACCTATCTTCCATATGACGTGCTCATCCAGGGTGGCTGGCCCCCCTGAGAAACTGCGGAGGACGTCAGATTTAGTCACAAACACGCAGAGCGGCTAGTGTTCAAGTGACGCACAGTTTAATAAGCATTATCTCAAACTGCCAGTTACAAACGGTTTTTTTTATTTTTTGGGTAGTTGTAAACGACACTAGTCGTGCTCTGGCTTACGTTATGAAAGGATTCAAATTTGAATGAAAAGAAAACTGAACTTAAGCAAAGGGCAATGTAAATTAACACTTTCAAGTGACAAACCTTATCCATAACCAGTAAACTATATCCTGTCCTCGACCTGGGGCTGGGACTAGGCTGGGGCTTGGCTGACTCGACTTCGACCGACTTCGACAGAGTTTCGCGCGCTTCCAGGGACGATCCCGACGCGAGCACGGGACAGCGGCTCCGTTCGGATTCGGGATGGACACGAACTACCGCACTACCGCACTGGAGGGAGGGAAGTACTGCTAGAGCTGAAAGGAACGTAAACCTAAATCGAAGTTATTAGACTAAAATAAATATTTTTAGGGGACTGTCATTGAGAATGTGTAAGGAATGTGCAGAGAATGTGTTAAGAATGTGTCCAGAATGTGACTGAATGTATGAGAATGTCAGAGAATGTACAGCGATTGTGTGAGAATGTTAGGGAATGTTAGCGAATGTGTAAGAGTGTGCTGGATTGTGGCTGATTGTTTTGATTCTATGAGAATGTGTGGAATGTGTCTTGAATGTGAGTGAGTTTTTCGGGAGTTGGGTCTCAGGATGTACAACGAATGTGCCTAGTGGGTCCCCCCTCGACTTTTTCAGTCTCAATCGGTACAGACAGCATTATTTTTTGTTTGTATTACCTTGTCTGCTGTGGTGGGTTCCTCAAAATCAAGTTCTGTATTTGGGTCCTCAGTCTCATCCAAGTCTGAGAGATCTATTTCCCCGACACCTAAAAGAAAAAAAAAGTTTCACTTCTTACCACTGCTTTAAACATAAAAGCTACTGAGAAAACATTCTTTGGGTAATAAGTTCTCGTTTGATTTTTAAATAAAAATGTATCTCTTACTTTCAGCTGGCATTCTACTTCTGACTGCCCGAAGTGGCTGTTTTCTTGATGGCTCTCTATTTTCAACTCCTAAATAAAGAAGAAATTGTGGAAATAAATCTCTGGGTCAATCAGATACCAGTAAAGCAGGAAAAAAGAAAACCTACCTTCTTTTTTTTTCTGTGGCTGTCTCTTTGGCTTCAGCTGAACCTGCTTTATAGCTAATTGATTTGCTGATTTGTGATAGATATCAAAAAATAAAATTAACTGCATGTTTGTAAAATAGGAAAATGCACTGAACATAATAAAAGGAATAGCTTACATATACTGAATTCTTTCAAGGCTGCTGATCTTGTTTTTCTTCTCGCCTCTGCGTCCTTCCAGTATTCAGACTCCTCGTCATTATCGTCTGATAAGTCTGCTGAAGCAACTGGTGATATGGGCCTGCACAGAGAAGAAAGCTTTTAATTATTGACTTTATACATTGCAAAGTGTTATCTTTTACTGCGTCTTTCAATTCAGTGATACACTTAACAATGTTATGATAAGTTTATTACCTCTTTGACGAAATCTTCTTTATTGAGCTGCTTTTTCCTGATCTGTAAAATACAAGAAAGAGTAATTAACAACACAATAAAATTTACTACCCCAATGTTTTGTTTTCTTTTTCCTTACAATGTCTTACTAGGTCCAGCTGCAGCTGAGCGATTACCAGCTTTATGGATAGATGTGGTGTTGGAAGAAGAGTGCCTCATTCCTATTGAATCCATGAACATTATGTCATCTTGATCAGCATTGATAGAACTATTTGTCTCTATTGATGTGGACTTGAGACCTTGCAATTCTTCTTCAGAATGTGCCTTGAAATAAAGGGTTTAATGAATAAAAATAAAATTGATCCATTCAAGAATGAAAGTGAACTTTTCCAGGAGAAAAAGGGGATAGGGGAGTGACAAGCATTGTCAGAAAGACTTTAAGGGGTGGGGTGGGGGAGTATACCCCCTGTTACTTACAATAGCAGCATATGCAGCGAAAAATACTTTGACGAGTTGTCCTTCTACCACAGTGTCGTCATTTTCCAACTCAAGATCCGTCATAGCCTCTCCGTTGTAAGACGAAAATGTGGGATAGTGCGTCACGATCCGCCTGCTTAAAACAGGGTCTTTGCCACACATACTGTTGAATGACTTCCTTAAGTCCGGCACCGTGCTCCCAGCAACTTGCAGGGCCTTTTTCCTGCCCTCTACTTCTAAAATTACTTTCATGATTACTACTGAATTATCGCAAAATAGTTGAGACGTATCAGCTGATCTTTTCAAGAAACGGCCAAACACCCTCGCTTTCAAACCCGACACTAGTACCAACATAACGAGACTTTTAAAAAAAGGCAATGCCGTAAAATTCATAAAGAGAAACAGTTTCAGAAAAAAGAACAATCAAACCCTTAAAGTAATATTTTAACTCTTTCATGCTCGAACAGAAGAACTTTCCTGTCACCTTATTTTTTTTTTCTTGCATGGACTTCTTGCATTGGCAGTCGTACACTCTATTGGCAGTCAAGGGGCGCCTATTGGCACGCGCACCCCCTATTGGCAGGTGGCCAGCCGTCGTCAGTTTTTTGTCTTTCTTTTTGTTTTTTATCCCCGAAAATGGCAACAGGCTTGAAGTCGTTTGTTGTTATCGCCGAGTGTTTTCCGTGTGATTCTAATGACAGTTTCAGTGACATTTACATGCAACGCCTGGTTTCGTTTGATAATCGCGCCGAGAAAAGAAAGATGTCAGTTGTATGGGACGATGATGTGTGTGTCAAGATTACAGAAGACTTGTTTGTGGTCACCTCAGAAAGTTAACCTCCGTTCAGCTGGGCGACACCAAACCACACCGACATGCAAATGCTGAAAGGATTGCATCCGACAGTGCTTTGGATTCCATGAGTGGTGAAAGTGATGGAGACCAACAAGGTAATTTAAAGGTTGACACCTGTGCTGCTCAAGTTGTAAAATCCTGTTTAAAATAGAACTTGCCAGCTTCTGGGATCTGATGCCTGCAAACCGTACATGAAGTGGCAAACACTTTTCTTAAATCTTCAATTTGGATGTGTTTCCAAAGAAGCACTTGTTGCTTGAGAATGTTGCATGCATGGCCCAAGCAAGCACCTATTATTGCGTGCTGGGCAAGCAAGCATTTGTAAACGCGTACTTGGCCAGGCATGCAGTTGTAAGTGCGTACTTGGTAAGCACGCAATTGCAAATGCATGCTTGGATGAGTACGCAATTACAACTGCATGCCTGGCCAAGTACGCAGTTACAAATGCATGCTTGGACAAGTACGCACTTGTAACTGCGTACTTCCAAGCATGCAATTGTAATTGCGTACTAAGTACGCAGTTAGGTTTGTAGTGTACGCTTTAGTTTTACCGGTGAGTGACAACAAATTTTCACAGTGTGGCTAAGAAGAATCTGGCCGGAAAGGCCTGTCAGTCGAGCAAAGGGGGGAAGGGGGGTCAGCACAGTCTCACGGTCTTCTCTTCAGAGAAGCGCGTTGCAGCCAGTCTTCGCTGCGTCGCGTCGCTGGAATGGCTGACTAGGCGGCAGGGGCGTCCAGCTCGGCTGCAGGGGCCGTCGCGGAAAGGGGGCCATCTCCGAGCTGCCGTTCGCGGGGTCGAAGTGAACCCCTCTGGAATCGACGACCAATGTTTCCCAAAATTTCGGGTGCAGTAGCCGATGAAGTCCTGGCCGAAGAGAAGAACAATGCACTTCTGGCTTTGGAACTGGTGCGCAGATCGGATTTTCTCCTCTCTCAGACGGCTATTGGAGGACGAGGTAGGTCAACGTTGTCTCTCTCTCTCTCTCTCTCTCTCTCTCTCTCTCTCTCTCTCTCTCTCTCTCTCTCTCTCTCTCTCTCTTTCTCTCCCCCGTCTCTCTCTCCCTCTCAATCTACTTCCCCTTTTCTCCTCTCTTTTTTCTCGCACTTCGCTTCCGCCCAATCTTCCCACTCTCGTCCCTCTCTACTTTTTCTCTTGCCTTTCTCTCTCACACTTTCTCCCCTCCCTCCCTCTCCCCTCTCCGCCCTCTCTCTCCCCCTTCTCCGTCTCTCGTTTCTCTCTTCTCTTTCTCCCCCTTCTCTCCTCTCCCTCTCTCCTTCCCTCTCTTCCGTCTCTTTCCTTTCTTATCTCTCTCTCTCTCTCTCTCTCTCTCTCTCTCTCTCTCTCTCTCTCTCTCTCTCCACAAAAATCCCCCCAATAAACTATTGTAAAAACTAAAACTCTCTCTCTCTCTCTCTCTCTCTCTCTCTCTCTCCTCTCTCTACCCTCTCGCTCTCTTTCGCCTCTGTGCCCTCGTCCCTCTCTTTTTTCTGTTAGTACCGCGGCCCGCCCGGCATCCGCGTTTGCTCGGAAGGTGTGTGTGTGTGTGTGTGTGTGTGTGTGTGTGTGTGTGTGTGTGTGTTTAGGGGGAGGGGGGAGTGTCCCCTCTGAAAAGTAAGAAGGAGGGAACGTTTTGCCCCTGGAAGTACGCTGAAAGTACTGCCCTCCTCTCCCGCACGTCGCCTCTAGACGCACTAGTGTTTCGTGCAGCAGTCAGTGCAGTGGCGTGTGCTGAAATTTTGACCGCCCCCGGTCAGGCCACATGCTTTTTGCAGGGGGAATGTGACGCAATGTATCAACATTCCAGGTGGCTGTCAAGTGGCGGAAGGGGGCTCATATGCCCCCCAACCCCCCCCCTCCCCCTCTTTCCTCGCCCTGCGCACGCCACTGCCAGCAGTGTCACACGCGGAACGGAATATCCCCGGCGGAGCTTCCCACCGCTGCGCCGGACGCGCTCCGCGGAGTCAGCACCCCTATCGGGTGGCACGACGCCGGTCGCGGACTGCAGGCTGATTCCGAGAGTCGCATCCGTCGCTCTCCCTCTCTGTCCCTCGCCTTCGCGTAAGAGTGCGAGAGAGACGGAGCGAAGGAAACGAACCTCGCAAGCATGCTGCCGTCGCGGCCACGGACTGCGCACTGCGTTCCACTCGGCCCTCGGCTCCGCTCGGCCGCCGCGCCGCGCAGTCAGTCGTCAGTCTGGCCTGGGCCTTCGCCGCGTGTGCACCGTTCGCGCGGAGCGACTCCACGGCCCGCGCCCCTCACTCCATCTCTCTCGCACCGCCACGGCAGACTCCACCAGCGCGAGGAGTGTGGGCAGCGGGATAGCTCGACTGCTCCGCGCCACCGCGGGGCTGAACCCCGTCGACGCGGCCCTGGACAGCACCGCGCAGCACCGAGTCCTCGTCAACGTGACCCTGAGCAGCGCTGCGCAGCACCGAGGCCCCGTCGACGCGGTCCTGGGCAGCGCCGCGTCGCGTCGAGTCCTCGTCGACGCAGTCCTGTGCAGTGTCGCGCTGCATCGTGTCCACGTCGACGCGGTCGTGTGCCGCGCTGTGACCTCGTCGACTTGGTCCTGGACAGCACCGTGCAGCACCGGGTCCTCGTCGACGCGGTCCTGGACAGCACCGTGCAGCACCCAGTCCTCGTCGACGCGGTCCTGGACAGCACCGTGCAGCACCGGGTCCTCGTCGACGCGGTCCTGGACAGCACCGTGCAGCACCCAGTCCTCGTCGACGCGGTCCTGGACAGCACCGTGCAGCACCCAGTCCTCGTCGACGCGGTCCTGGACAGCACCGTGCAGCACCCAGTCCTCGTCGACGCGGTCCTGGACAGCACCGCGCAGCACCGAGCCTTCGTCGATGTGATCCTGGGCAGCGCTGCGCAGCACCGAGGCCCCGTCGACGCGGTCCTGGGCAGCGCCGCGCCGCGTCGAGTCCTCGTCGACGTGGTCCTGGGCAGCGCCGCGCCGCGTCGAGTCCTCGTCGACGCGGTCCAGGACAGCACAGTGCAGCACCGAGTCCTCGTCGACGCGGTCCTGGACAGCACCGCGCAGCACCGAGGCCCCGTCAACGCGGTCCTGGGCAGCGCCGCGCCGAGTCCTCTTCGACGCGGCCCTGGGCAGCGCCGCGCCGCGTCGAGTCCTCGTCGACGCGGTCCTGGACAGCGCCGCGTCGTGTCCACGTCGACGCGGTCCTGGGCAGCACCGTGCAGCACCGAGTGCTCGTCGACGCGGTCCTGGACAGCCCCGTGCAGCACCGCGTCCTCGACGCCGCGCTGCGTTGTGTCCTCGTCGACGCGGTCCTGGACAGTGTCGCGCTGCGTCGAGTCCTCGTCGACGCGGTCTTGGGCAGCGCCGCGCTGTGTCCTCGTCGACGTGGTCCTGGGCAGCACAGGGTCCTCTTTGACGCGGTCCTGGGCAGTGCCGCGCTTCGTCGTGTCCTCGTCGACGCGGTCCTGGGCAGTGCAGCACCGCTACCGAGTTCCCATCGCCGTGGTTTCGGGCAGCGCCGCGCAACACTGACTTCTCGGTCCTGGGTCCGTCGACGCGGTCCTCGCCTTCCTGCGGTCAAACGACATTCACGTTTGGGAGGATGGGAGCGTCGTGCGGCACCCAGTACGCGTCGACGGCCGCCATTTCGCTGTGAGGCCGCCTGCTCGGAGGAGGCCGTGATCGAGGGGTCTCGGTGGCTTCGCTTGACATTCCGTCGTAGGCTGACTGTACGCATGGTAAAAACGGTACCTGCTTTTCCCCGGAGCCCTATGGTGAAGACACATCCAGGTGGTTCCTGGGAAAACTATGAACCGTTTTTACAATGTGGTCTTTCCGTTAGGTGTTGCCACTGGCCTCTCTCTCTCGCACTCTCGCAGCGTCGCAAGGCGTGCAAGAGAGACATGCCGACAGCCGCACTGCCTGATCCCCTAGCAGGCCGATTCTGACTCTGGCCGGGGCCTTCATCGCTCTGCCTCTCTCAACGTCCGTTTATCGTGGTTCCTTTTCGTGTTTTTGAATTAGCCGTACTCTACAAACTGAAGGAATTAGCCGTACTCTACAAACTGAAGGGTACGCTTTGCCTGGAGCGTGCCACTGCTAGCGGCCTTGGCGAGCCCTCTGGTTCTAAGAGTGTGCCTGACAATCACACTTTTCCTAGCAGGCTTGGCAGGCACACAGGCCGATCGAGGACCGGCCGGATTCTGACTCCGGCCGGGGCCTTCATCGCTTTGTCTCTCTCGCACTCCTCCGGGCCGCCCTGGAGGAGTGCGAGAGAGACAGAGACGGGGAACCGCTCTCGGCGTCCCGATGGTGCCTGCCACACAGTAGGCCAGAAGACCGGTGAAGGCGTCCAAATCTCTAGACGCGTTTTGAGCTCCAGAGTCGCTAAACATGACTCGAACCGAACGTGTGACCCCACCAATTGATTGCGCTTCGACCGAGGAATCCGTTGCAGGGGGTCACACGTTCGGTTAGCCCTGTTTAGCGACTCTGGAGCTCAAAACGCGTCCAGAGTTTTGGCCACCGGCGCCGGTTTTCTGTCCCGCTGTGCGTCGTCTCGTTCCAGTTCAACGTCGTGCG